GGAGCTTGGAAAGGCTATCCTAACCTTCAAAGCCCTTCATGGCCTTGCTCCCCCCTACCTCTGCGACCTCCTAACCCCCTACCAACCTGCCTGCTCCCTCCGCTCAGTGGGCTCCGGCCTGCTTCACATCCCCTGCCTCACCCGCCCCACCATTGGCGGGCGGGCAGGCTTTCAGCCACTCTGCCCCATCTTCTGGAACTCCATCCCATAGTCTCTCCGCCTGGCCTCCTCCCTTGCCTTGTTCAAGACCCATCTCAAGACCCTCCTCTTCAACCGTGCCTTCGATCACCGTCCTTCGCCCATTGCCTCTCCTCAATCCCCAGCTCGGGTCTGAAACACTGATTGTCTAGCACCTTGGAACGTCATCCCGATGTGAAAGGTGCAATACAAATGTAATTTTGTTGTTGTTGTTGATTTTAGTGGAAAACAAACACTGTCCAGTGAGAGTGAAAATTCACCAGTTTCTCTGCTTTCTTACAAATTGACACTGTAAAATCTGTGTGTATAAGGACTTTTGCTGTAGTGAGACTGACTATATATTGAATTGCATATTCTTGTCATTTACCAAGCGCATGCACTATAAGACCATATTTCTCTTCACTAGATTTCACTAGATTTCAGCACTTGTTTTCAGAAAAAAAATCACAGGTGATTAATAGGCAAAAATTATATGTTCCTTAGTTTAGACGTAGGTTGTTTGTAGCATTAAAAATTAGTAAAAGAGCTCAAAAAGTGTTACAGAAATGGTTGCAAAAGGCTGAAGTTCCATGATTGTCCAGGGGCTTTTTGCCTTAACTCACACCAGGGGTGCTGATTGATTTTGGTGGCCCACCAGACCTCTTGCCTAAAGTTTAATATTTTGGGATTGTTGCCTCTGCTCTCACTCACCCACGTAAATGTCAAACTCCGCCCATGGGTTGAAGCCAGCGCACTGAGATGCATTTAAGAAACGGTTAGGTGTTGCAATGGGAGGAATGTAGGGTGGATATTCTGGAAGGATGAGATCAAATGAGGCAAAGAGCGGATCTTGTGATAAATATACTTTTAAAATCTTCAGTGCACAAGGGTCGGGGCTCAAGGTACTTATGTTATTAACCACCAATGAGAATGTTTAATGGTGATTTTTACGCCTTCTTTGAATAATTACATAATTAAGGGCACCGAGATATGTTTGAATATGATTAGCCCAATAACCCAATCTGTACTTTAGGCAACCACTGGTGTGAAACACACATATGATTATCCTTGTCAGTATATTATTGAAACTCCTATTTTACTATGACATCTGACAGAATAAAAGGTTGACTTTTTAATCTGTTTCTACATATTGGTAGAATACTGTCAGCCATCAGTGGAGCAGATGGATCCCAATGCAAAGCCTTTTGATTAGAGACGTCTGTTCTGCTCATCACCTCAGTACACCCGCCTCACAAATAGCTTTGTGGCAAGGTGCAAACTGTACCCGCTTGCAATCATCTTTCTGAAGAACTCTGACAGTCAGGCTCAGTGGGGCTACCTCTTGTCAGAATGCACAAAGCAAACATCTAACGCCAGCCAACAAGATTTGCTGGAGCTGAGAGTGGTTCAGTTAAGAAAGACAACTTTTCTCTTTCAGGCTGCTTGTCAGTGCTTCTTCCTCCCCAGTGCATAAACACATGGTAGATTCAGAAGATTAATAGAACAGACACAGATGGTTCATGCCAGAGATAGAAATGTAGAACATTTCAGATCAGGAGACCATCGGTAGTTCGTCACTGGAACCTGTATTACTAAATCACCTCCTTTCTATTCTCCCATTCACTAGTTCTTTCCCCATATCTTCAAAACATTTAATATCATGTACCCTAACAACCCTCTGAGTGAAGTTCATTCTAGTCTTACCCCTAATTGTTCCTCTAACAATCATGATACCATGCCCTTGTCATCTATTCCCCAATTAAAATAAATCAGTTTCTCCGTATTCGCCTTACAACTTGTCAGGATTTTAAAGACCACTATCATATCCTCTCCCAATCTACTCTACTCCATATGTATTTTCTCAGGGTTGAAGGGCATCTATATTTCCTAACACTTAAATTCCTCTCAATTTAAGTGATCTGGTTTAAATGCACTTAATGTTTCACTTATCATGTTGTGTTTAACACTTCTGATAAGGCCAATTTATAATAGCCTAGAATTTGATAGAGACCTATAAGATAAAAACAACTCAAAGTACTTCACAGGTAATTGTTGTCAAGTGTATTGACCATGTTTTTTGTAGGTAAATGAAGTAGCCAGATTGCACTAGCAAAGCCTCATAACCAACTATGAGTTAAGTGACCAAATTACTTGTTTTCTGGACAGTGGAAAGGGAGCTTTTATGTTCACTAGAAAAGACCAAACTGGACCTCAGTTTAACATATCCAAAGGACAATACTTTAGAGTTGAAGTATTCTCTAAGTTGATTGACATTGGAGTGTCATAAGAGCATAGAAATAGGAGGAGGCCATTCAGCCCATTAAGTCTGTTCCACAAGTTTGTTA